TATATATAGACAAAAAACCCTAAAAAATGCATAAAAAAAATACTTAGAGATCACAAAACTTTTTTTTTGAAATTTTTTTTGAAAAAATCGCACCTTTTAACACAAAATCGCTGAAAAAATTTTTGAATTTTTTTTTTATAAAAAAGAATGATTTTTTATTTTTTTTTCAGCGAAATTTTAAAAAAAGCTGCGATTTTTTGATGTGTAAAGTCAAAAAAAAAAAGTTTTGTGATGTCTAGGTATTTTTTTTATGCATTTTTGTGATTTTTAGGGTTTTTTTGTTTTCCATATAACCCTTCCCATATCTTGGTAACTTTCAAAAAATCATGATAGAAGACAAATGTATGAATGAATGGATACCAATTTGTAAGTTCTTTTACAATTCAAATGAAATCTCTTCACACTGTGAATATATGAGTAAGTGCTTTAGTATTTTCTCAATCAAAGAATTGTTGGTAATTGTGATAGTATTTTTTTTTATTTGATTTCATCTAGTTTTGGAGTTTCTGAACCATAATTTGTCTACCAATTGATTTCCTCCATGGTCACTTCATCCATTTGAGTAGCTGCAATAAAATGAAGCCATTTTTTTCATGTGGAATGTTGTGAATTGCTCTCACAACACCTGTTCTTCTTCTTGATCAACAAGAAAATAGGTTTTGTTATAACTAGAATACTTTCAACATCCTCCCAAAAAATTTCACTCCTAATGGTTTTAATAATCAATAATTTGGTTCTCTTAGTTTACATCATCCTAGTAAGGGAGATGGTTGTAGCAAGAGCATCCCTACAATTCATTAACCTTTGCAACAAAAGGTAATAAGACACAAACCTAGTCTTGACCACTTTTAACAATTCTAACTTTGCATTATCTCTAAAAGTTGTCAAAGCTTGATTGTGATTAGAAAAACTTAACAATTACTTTTCCTCTTCTATACATATTTATCAATGAATAAACTCATTTACAAAGTCTTTAAAAATCAAGTTCACAATATGTACACAACAAGGAGATCAAAATATATGTTTTTGTGTATTTTCAATCTACCTTCCAACACCTATGCCATTTGTTAAGTTACCTGTCACAACTTGAAGGAGATTGATTGATTCAAGCGCTTCCGTTGCTCCAAGTAAAACATTTGCTATTGCTACTCATGTTTTCTCTAAACCATAAAAGTCTTCTGCATACATGAACATCGCCCTATGACTATTCACATCAATAAAGTGTGCTTGGTGTTTGACCCCCCATTAGATACGATAGAAACTATTTGCAAATAACACATATTTTTAAAGTGTAACGCCCAACAAATTAATAGAAATTACACCCTAAAAGTTTCACTTTTATAATACAAAATAGTCAAGTATACTTTCATATTAACTTGATAGCATACAAGTAGTTATCGTTAACATATAATAAAAGATACATCCAAGGATCGAGTCAGGTATGACAAAGTGTTTACATCAAAATACAAAATTATACAGGTACTACAAAAGTCTTCTATCCTTTAGTTACACCTTTACCCCTATATCATTATTACTTGGTCCTCAAAAATAAGAACATAATATAGGGTAAGCTTTACAAGCTTAGTGAGTAATGTAATCAACATAAACATAACAACAACAATCACAATATACAATATTTAAACAAGGTTATATTCCACTCTTTAGTTTCAACATCAAATATTCAACTATGTCAGTTATAATCTTTAAGCTATTAGTTATATCAGTTATATTCAACTATAACTATTCAACTATACTCAATCATTGCTTTTCTACTATAAATAGCTTATGTCGGTTATAGTTGAATATAACTATTCAACCATACTCAATCATTGCTTTTCTGTTATAAATAGCTATGTCAGTTAAATTCAGTTATACTCAGTTACTGCTTTTCAACCATTTCCAGCTCGTATAATTTGAGTAGTTTCGCATATCATGCTAGCATAAGATTTACCCCTCATTGGAGGTGTATGAGATTACTCACCTTAAGATGACATATATACTTGAAACTCTAGTTCTTGAGGCCCATATTTATTTTTACTCTAGAAGCTATGAAAATAACATCACTTAAGCATCATAGCCTAAGGTATAACTAGTTAATTTATAAACTTAAACAAATACCTCCACCATGTTTATAGAGCTAATTTCATGATTAAAACTAAAGATGATCCATGAATATCTTGTCATATGTCTTAATTCATCAAGATATGAGATTAATTTCACTTTGTTCATCATTTCACCAAACTATTGTTTTTATCTATCTTCTTCATCTCAAGAATTTAACCATGGATTTCATTTATAATACTTGAAGTTATTATTAGTAAGCTCATTACAACATCATCATCGAGTTTTTTTTTCATGGAGGCATGTACGATTAAGGGTTACATCACCCATCAATTTCTACCATGAAAACTACAACCAAGCTTTGTAAGAATGTGAACCTTACCTCTAATCTAAGAGATGAAGTTTAATTCTTGTTTACTTGAAGTTCGTTTGCATCAAACTTTTTCTCCAAGGTTTTAGCTCTTAAAAAACCCCTTAGTTAGCTCTCGATATATGTGTGTGAGAAATGAGGACCACTAACCGAGTTGGTATTTTAAACACACCCCTAGGGCTTTGAACTTGAGACATGGCCCGTGTCTCCATAGACACGGCCTGTGTCTCACTTAAAAATGTCCATAAAGGCAATGTACTTCATTAAAACGAGTTTGGAGATGATTATAGGACTTCGACACATTGCTCGTTTCATACGAACTCAGATTTTGATGGTCTTTGTATTCACACGTTCGTATTTGAGTCAACTACAACTTTCTTTTAGATTAATTCACCAAAAAACTATTATATGTTTACTTATTAAGTCATAAATGAGGGGTTATACATCATTCTCCTTTATAACTATAAGTTAACCTATATTTTAAATTCATCTATTCATATATTCTAGCAAAATACACGTTTTAACCCCTTACTAACTTATAAATATATTACACCTCTCATAATGTCATCAGCTACAAAAAAATAGTGTTACATAAAGAGTGTTAAATCTTTTTCTACATCTCTAACACATGTTCAATCAAAACTGTTCTCGCTTAACAACGATTTATAACTTAGATGGTTCCTTGTTGATTGCGTTTACCATCTTGAGAAACAAGTATTGCACAACACATTAAAAGAATATCATTTGTACATAGACCTCTCATAATTTTCAAATCGATCCTGTTTTTCTCTCCATTACACCAATAGAATCTTCAACGGTTTTTTTTTTTAAGAGGAACTGTGTTTTTTTTTTACTAATTACAGAGTTTTTTAAGGAGAGAGAAACCACTATTTTTTCTATAGATTTCACTTTGTTCAACAAGTGTTCGTACTTCTTGCACTCTTTTAGTAAAGCTGTACGTTGTTTTATTTCTGCTTTCTTCCCCTCCGAATAACCAAAAAACTGTACATGTATTATTGTGTATGAACTTTTAATTTTTGTGGTTGTAATGCATACAAATCCATACCTTTGCACACAAATACTGTTCGCTTCTTGTAATTTTTGTGGTTGTGATGCATACAAATCAGCATCGTAAATACGTAAATCTCCTCATTCGAGTTTGTGTTATCTGGGGTCTTTATTTTCTAAATATTTTTTATGGTTGTAATAGCACTAAAGCATTTATGAAAATATATCTCTTTCTTCTTTGCATTCTTAGCATTCTCTGCATGCTCCCATCTTTTTCTTTGTTAACTTCCAGAATCATTTCACCATTGATTCCCCATATTTGCATCATATTGCTAAACGTTGGGAACTTCTTCACCCTTAACTCAGTTATTCTTCTCTGCATCATTTTGGGTTGCTAAACAATAATAACAAAAAACATTTCAGGAAATATTTGAAGATTAATAAATTTCATGATTCATGAATTTGTAACTGGGCCTGGACTAGTCATGCCTCAACTAGTCATACAACTAGTCCTAAACTGGTCATGAATTTGTAACCAAGCCTTTTATGTAAAAATATAGGACATATCAAGAGGACCCATCAGGCCTTGAAAACCAAGCTTTTTAGGCCGTTCATGGGCCTAGGCCCATTTGTTCACCTAGGTGTAAGTAACACCATCAAATCATTTATTGTAATATTTTGTTGTATGATTTTCAGGATTTCCTGCTGATACTGGTACAATAATCTACGCTGTTCTTCAGGTAATATAAATCTAGACATTCTTCTTGTTTGATGATATTTTATTACTTACAATGTCCTCTTCTTCCAGGTTGTGGTTACCACCCTTAATGCACTCCTTGTAGACAAACTTGGTAGAAAGCCACTCTTACTGGTAAGTTCAATATATATTATATACGTACCAACACCACATTTATATATAACTAATGTGTTAAATGTTGTTATTATATATATACCCGATACAACCTTTAGTTCAATTTATACCATTTTTAATAACATGTAATGTATATCTCAAGGTTTCTTTGGTGGGGATGACTTTGGGCTGTATATCAACAGCAGCTTCATTCTACTTCAAGGTAATCATCACACACTAAACCTTTACATTATCTTCTCTTGCAAAATCAAAATTTTCTTTTCTTATTTCATGTTATATATGCTGTTAAGACTACTCATCAGGCAATTTAAGTAAATGTAGGATTTAATCATCTAATCTAACAATCTTCTCGTGCACTAGACTTATCAAATAGCTTTAGGAGTAGCACCTGCACTAGCTGTGACGGGCATTCTGGTAAATATTCCATCATATCACTTGCAAAACTGAAACTACAAACATTTATATATTTTTGTTCTAAAATCTTTATTTTTTCCAACTCAGTTGTATATAGCAGGGTTTTCAATAGGAATGGGAGCAGTTCCATGGGTTATAATGTCTGAGGTATATATTAATCATAACAATAATCGCTTTTTAAAATTCTTATCCGTTAATTAATCAGATGAATGTTTTGTATATATCTAGATTTTCTCTATTGACATCAAAGGCGCTGCTGGTGGGCTTGTCACGCTTGTAAACTGGGCTGGTGCATGGGCCGTTTCCTACACTTTCAATTTTCTCTCCAAGTGGAGTTCTTATGGTAAGCTTTGATACATCATGTATCTCTCATGTCATTTGACAACATTGTTTTTTTTTTTTGTTTTTTTCAGGTACGTTTCTTCTATATGCAGCAGTAAACGTATGTTCTATTCTGTTTGTGATGAAAACGGTACCCGAAACAAAAGGAAAAACTTTGGAACAGATACAAGCTGCCATTAATGGCTACTGACACAAATGTCACTCATTACAAGTTTTTGATATTTTACATTACATTGACTTGACAATAAATCTTTTATCATATCATATAATATATCAAAAGTCGCTCACAGTTCACAATACGTAATCAAACTACACAAATACATCAAATTTTTACATGGACAAGTTCCTCTCCTGTAAAAGTGTAAATCACCTACCAAAGCGTATTTCAACTCAAAAAAAAAAAAAAAAAACAAATATATGTATATAATATAGTAACTATCTCAATATTAATTTATCTATATATCTATGATCTATCTAACGTTTGCATCTTCCATACACCTTTTGATGAATTAGAATTTGTTATTTTCACAACTTTTTGTTTAGAATGTCGATGATGCCTTGATCTAACGTATTGTTGTGGAGGTGGCACCTCTACCTTTGTTACATCGACTTTGACTATATGATGGTCAGAAGTACCTTTTGATGATAAAACCATATATGAACCCGGAACAAATTTATATGGAGAGTCGGGTGACACCAATAAGTAATCTACCCTTGTACCATACTTACACGTACCTTGTACATCTGCATTAAATCATTAAAAAAAAGTTACAAACTTTCAAATTAATTTCTAAAAAGAAACAAATTGACATATTAAAAAATTAAATACTTTTTAATAAATCAAAACATAAATAACATATTAAATAAAAACACAAAATTGACGTATTTATTGCAATACTAGTATTCTAATAAAAAAAAATATACACAATTGACACGTTATTTTTGTAACAAAAAAGATGTAAGAGAAATTTGTAGAAAGTGAAAAAATATAAGGGGTAATTTTGAAAACCTATACAAGTTAGAAAAAATAAATATAATTGGAATAGTCCTTTTGGTATTAAAAGTTATGTATGATGAATCACTATTTGCAATAAATATTGCACATTTTTGACCAAAAAGTTGTGTTATGATAGTTAAGGATTTGTACTTTGGCCTTTCGCGATGATGACTACCGATTCATATTCTCCCGCAAAATCCTTAGCGTCGGTGTATTGTTTGTTCTTCAAGTACTTCATCACTTCAACTTTTGGTGTCGGTTTTCCCATTTCTTCATAATACTGGGAAAAAAAAACACAAGTTAGAATGTTAAGCCTTGATTTTCTCTCGACACTGTGTGTAGCAAGTGTGAGACTCGTAACAATATTCATATGGTTTCGTGATATTTAGAATAGAAAGATTGGATTTTTTTTTATGTACCTTTACAATGTCTGTCCATCTTTCGGGTGAGTAATCAGTTTCATCAAGAGAGTTGATACCTCCGGCTAAAATATGTGGTCTCTCATTAGATTCAATAATGGCATTTATCTGCTTCATACGCCACTTTTCGTCAAGATGATCAAGAAGTGTACAGTGGAAATCAACTTCTCCAGTTTGTGGAACATCAATTGTTGCCTTTAATACGTTCCTACATCCATTTCAACAACCGTTAGCTTATTATGTTTCTTTCATTTATCTATCCACCATCCAACCACACAAAGAAAAACATGGACCACCTAATGCAAAATCACCATATTATTTGAAGAAAATTTAATGACATGTATACATAAATGGAAAAGGATTGGAACCCTTGATGTGTACAAATTATAATTGAAGCATGGGCTTTTAGTAGCAATCAAGAGGTGAAAATTTGCAATCACATCCCACAAAATAATCTTTAAGAATACTTTTAGTAGCTGTTGAACTTTTTAATAGCATACAGCTGTTCCCAAACATGATACACCAAACAGCACTAATCTTCAACTTGTTATCTGGATTTTATGAATTATTCAGTAGAAATAAAGATTGGTGTCTAATATTTGTAACCCCACCCCCGTTCCATATGTTAAGAAGTAAGAACCCTCTCCAACTCATTTTTCATATTTAATTAAATGAAATCGGTATTCATATCTTTTATATGTGAAAACTTCAATTTTGATTTTTGATTGAACCAAAATAAATTGAAAAGAGTGCAGACAGACAAAATGGTATGGACAAAAATGGGTTGATTTGGATTGAATATTCGTAATGTCTACATTTTTTTATTTATTAATTTTCATGAATAAATAATACATTAAACATGGCTACGAAAATAATTATTAAAAGAATGATACATTTCTTTTGAATAAAATAATTTAGAAAGTTAAAAACGCTTTAATATACTTTTATAGCTTCTAGACCATTCAATATATTTCTTTCTAACGAATTTTTTTCTAATCGTATACAGATCTATCTATTTTCACGTAAAATAGGTCGAAAATATCCCTTTTAATATCTTTTGCTATATCTTGAAGTACTATTTGGTCCATTTATAGCTTTTCACAATTACTATTCTTTTGTACTATATGCCCTTTTCCTTACGGAATTCTAACCCCCTTTGCTTCTTCGAAAAAAGGTTACATTAAGTAATGGCCCCATCAATTGAAGACATGATTGAACCCAAAAGTATTTATATCGTCGTTTTTATTTTAAAGACAAGTAATTATAGAAATCCACAAGATCATTTAGTTAAAACAACATTAATGCAAACAAGAAAACAAGTAATAATCACACAAGAATCTTTCTTTTGTTTGACGGATGTTTGCAACTTTGCATTAATGTGTCGAGAGTGATAATACGATATTAAGTTGTCATAATTGTATAACTAATGTCCATAAGAAAGAAATATTTATAAAATAAGGGTATAAAAGTAATTTTGAACCTGAAATCGGAATCATCAAAAATCTTTTGAACTTTGGATCGTTTAATCGGCCATTTTGATAAAACCGCGTTGCCGTATTCCGGTGCCCAACTCTCGGCAAAAACATAATTCATGCCCAAAGCAGCAGCCAAATCCGATAATGGCTTCATATCTTTCTCTTCTTCTGCTTTAACATCCTGTAAAGCTAATATATCTGCATCCAATTCTTTCAAAACTTCAAGAACAGTTTTCGTTGACCTATAACCTTTCCCTCTTTGATTTTCAGATTCTTTTGAAGGAAAACTGTTTTGTGATCTTAAAACACCTTTCCCTTTCAAAATCCTACTTATACCCTTCGAATTACTAGTTTTTGAACTCGGGCCTTCTTCCGTTTCGTCTATGGCGAAGCTTAACTGCCCACTTCGCTTCAGTGAGATCTCGTTGTCCGGTAAATTGATTGAAACTCTTAGCTTTGATTTTGCGAATTTCTGCTGTTTTGATACAGTTTCTGAACTGCTCATGGAGCTGCTTGAATGCAATGGTGATTGCTTTAATATACTTTTGGGACGATCAATCATTGATTTTGATCTTGAATTGGTGTAAGAAACAGAGCAATTTGATGGTACCTTACTACTGTAATCTTGTTCGTCTTCGCCATAGTCAAAGCTTGAAGCTTTTTCAGTCAACTCTGGAACTGCTGGTGCCATGGAGAACAAAGCGGCATTAAAAGTTGCGATTCGGATTGGGGTTTCTGATTTCCCCAAATGATTATTTGGATGAATTGTGGCTGACCCATTTGTGTTTGATAAATCCTGAGTTCTGGAATTCGATTTCCCGAACCTTTTGATAATGACTTTCGGTTTTGCACGGCGGCGCACCGGCCACCGGAACTTTGAGCAGAGTCGCCGGAGGTTTTTGTTGAAGATACTAAGCATTTTTCAAGAGGAAACTTCACCCTATTTGAGGGCTCTGATTCCTCCTTTCAGTTCTTGATTGAAAAACTGAAATCTTTGATGATAATCAATAGTTGAAGAAGTGATTTTTGTGGGTATCAAAGAGTGGAATGAGTTGTTTAAGGAATTGGGAAATTTAGTTCGGTTTGATGTTTGTTTGTTTGTAGGTTTGTTATTAGTAGTGAGAGAGGCGCAGAAAAGGTTTTAATGAAGGGAGAGTCTTCTCGGAAACAAGCTTGGTGACATTTGGCAATAATTAAGAGGTCCTCTGTCACCTTTTTCTTTTTGTTTTTTATATTTGGAAAATTGAGAAAAATCACGACATACACACACAATATATATATATATATATATATATATATATATATATATATATATATATATATATATA